TCCCACTCACGTCTTCCTTTTCAGCTTCATATCGTCCGGATTGAATCCGATACCCTCTGAGTCCACTGATACGTATTNCTCTTTTAAATAAATTCTGATGATGACGACGATGATGATGATGACGGTGGTGATGATGAGTGTGGGTATAATGATGATTAAGAAGATAGTGATGATGATGATGATTCTGACGACAATGATGATGATGAGGATGATGATGCTTATTAATTTTTTTTTCAATTTAAATCAGCGTTATAAATGATGTCTATGAAATTGGGAAATTTAATTTGCTGTGAAAGCAATGAGTTTTTAAGGATTGTTGTTTTTGGGTTATAATGATGATGACGATGATGATGATGATGATGACGATGAAGATAATGACACTATGACGATGTATCTGATGATACTGCTGGCTTATTAAGATGATGAAACTGATAACGAAACACACACACAGAGAGAGAGAAAGAAGAGATAGAGAGAAAAAAAAAGAAAAGAGAGAGAGAGAGAAAGAGAGAAACAAACAAACACGTACATATAAATACACGCATACCCACAACCTTTTTAACTTACATACACACAACAAACATACATACATACATACATACATACATACATACATACATACATACATACATACATACATACATATTAGTATACATATAAATATCAGTATTAGGTCAGGCGATAGTAGGGAATATTTTTTTGCTATGAATAATATCTCGTGCATTCTGCAGCGGTTTTTGCGCGTCTGTGTGTTGGAAAATGTGGAGTTGAATGCCGACGGGGTTGAGTGACGTTATAGCAAATAAAATCAAATTTAGTCAGACGCTTGGCTTTTGGTGTCATTCGTCAATGATTTGGTTTTAACATACATACATATATACATACATACACACGTTCGCTCAGCTGGTGTCGGCTTTCTCATTTTTAGTATTTCGCTAATTTTTAGTAATATTTCTGGTTTTTAAGGTTTTTGTTGCAATAATTTCGGTTTTTTTGGTGTGGTTTTTATTGGTTGTCGCTTTTTTGCCCTTTTTCGGATTAGGTTCCCGCCGTTCGGTTGGTTTTTTAACTTTTGTGGTCTCAAATTTTTAATTTTAGCTTTAGCATACTTTAACAACAGCTGTGGGCTTTTACAGATGCCCCGTACAATGCTCATTAATATTTATTTTTGTTTTCTCTGTTTCATTCCCAGTTTTTCTTTTAATTTTTAAATTTATTTAAATTTTAAATTAAACCTTTTTATTTTCACCACAATTTTATTTATTTTATTTTATCACTGTTCACACGGTTTTATCTACTCGCTTTTGATTTTATTTCGTTGACGTAATGGCACCGGTCCTATACCAATGCACGGTTTGTTTAAATCATTATAAAATAAAACCGGACGGTAAACTATATCGACATGGAGGCAAAGTGAAGGGCCAGGAATGCCCTGGTTCGTTCAAGGCAGCCGACCAGCCTCCGGCTGGTTCATCTGCTTCCGTGCGACCGCCGCTTACCGCTGCACCTGTCATCAACCCTCATGTTGCTACACGCGGTTCTTTGGCGTCAGTCTCGGAGAGTCCCTCCCAAGTGGATTTTTTTCATGTTTTTGACAGGCTGACGGTCGTTTTGAGGACTGCCCATCTGTATGATCACGTTCCCAAACCGTGCAGAGACAAGGTATCTAAAGCATTGTCGGCTTTATTGACGGCCGTTTGCGATGATCCCTGCGACGCGGCCCATTGGTGCAGGCTCCAATGTTTTTTCGCATTTGTTTTGTTCAAGCCAACCAGGGGCGGTCGCAGGACTAATCAAGCCAATTACGTTATTAAACGGTTGGCCGAATTCAGTTCGACCGAGGTCGAGTTTATTGTGGCAAGCTTCAACACTGACCACAACACCAAACCGCGTAAGCACAATCCAAACAGTTGGATTAGTGCAGTAACCACTCGGATTGAACAGGGCAGTCTCTCGGCGGCCGTCAGACTTGCTTGTTCGCCCGCAGGCCTGGCGGAGAGCTCGCCTGAGACACTCGCTAAACTCAAAGCTATTTATCCCAGTGCTCCATTGAACAGGCGAGCTTTCCCCGCGCAGGAGCCGTCCAATGGTTGCGTTTCACCAGCCCAGGTGTTGACGGCTTTAAAGTCGTTTAATAATGGTTCATCGGGAGGCCTTGATGGCTTGAGGCCTCAGCACATAAAGGATTTACTTTCCGGTCCGACGCCCACCGATGAATTGTTAAATAACCTCACCCGGTTTGTAAATTTGTTGTTATCTGGGGTCTGCCCTCCCGCGGTTAGCCGTTTCTTTTTTGGGGGCCGTCTGGTGGCTTTAAACAAAAAAGACGGAGGGATCAGACCCATCGCGGTGGGGAATTTCTGGAGGAGGCTGGCAAGTAAATGACACGTTTCAAATGCCACACGTGCTGGCTAATGTCCCCACAGTGCCTCATTCATCATTAAATTTTTTAGGCACTCCAATGATGGCCGGCGATCATCAGGACAGGTTTTTTAATAAAAAACTTTTTGAGCTAAGATTTGCCCTCGAACGTGTCTCTCTTCTCCCGCTCCACGACGCGCTGACAATCATCCGCGGCGCCCTCAGTTTGCCGAAATTGATGTATTTTTTGCGCACATCCAACTTTGTTAATGCGGCCATTTTGGGCGAATTTGAGGGTGCTCTGCGGGTGGCCCTCTCAGCAATATGTAACGTCGATATTACCGACAAGGGTTGGTCTCAGGCTCAGCTGCCGGTACGATTTGGGGGACTGGGGTTACTAAGCGTGGTTCAGCTTGCACCAATTGTTTATAAATCTTCCGCATCTGCCACGCTTGACCTACAGTCTGCCCTTCTTCGGCAATTTAGTAGCCTGCACTGTACCCCACCGACTCCAATCTAACCAACAGACCTTTCCCAGGGCAACATTTTGGAGGAAGCATATAAACGCACATTCAAAGAGTTGCTTTCCTCAAGCCCTGACTCGGCGACCTCAGCTCGCTTGCTGGCAGTTTCCAGCGAGGCGAGTTGCGGCTGGCTGAGATCTTTGCCCAATACGTCGGTGGGTATCAGATTGGACGACGAAACGGTCAGGACAGCCATTGGCTTCCGTCTGGGGTTGGCCGTTCAGAGTCGATATACATGCAGGTGCGGCGCGGAGGCGGATGAACTTGGCCATCATGGTTTTGTTTGTCGTTTGGGCGGAGGTCGCCAGCAGCGACATTCAGCCATAAACGATTTTGTGTGCCGACTTTTCTCCAAGGCCTCAATTCCGGTTTTAAAGGAACCGTCGGGCATTGCGGCGCACGACGGTAAGCGCCCTGACGGGTGTACCTTGATCCCTTGGAGAGCCGGCAGGTGCTTGGCGTGGGACGTTACCGTTCCGGGCACCTTTGCTGAGCGCTACGTGCAGCTTACTAGCAAAGAAAGCGGTTTGGCTGCAACCAGGGCATCTGACGAGAAGATCAAAAAGTACGACGGAGCTCTCCCCTCGATGGAGTTTTTACCGATTTGTATCGAGGTCCTCGGCCTCATGGACCGTATCACCTCCGGGTTTTTCAATCGGATTTGTAAAAATATCAGCATTAGGTCAGGCGATAGTAGGGAATATTTTTTTGCTATGAATAATATCTTGTGCATTCTGCAGCGGTTTTTGCGCGTCTGTGTGTTGGAAAATGTGGAGTTGAATGCCGACGGGGTTGAGTGACGTTATAGCAAATAAAATCAAATTTAGTCAGACGCTTGGCTTTTGGTGTCATTCGTCAATGATTTGGTTTTAACATACATACATACATACATACATACATACATACATACATACATACATACATACATACATACATACATACATACATACATACATACATACATACATACATACATACATACATACATACATACATACATACATACATACATACATACATACATACATACATACATACATACATACATACATACATACATACATACATACATACATACATACATACATACATACATACATACATACATACATACATAAATACATATATACATAC